GCTGAAGTGGTCGTGGGGTGGGGGACCGGCTCCCAGAGCCTCCGTCCCTCCTGCCCTGTCACTTCCCTGCTGCCTGCGGCCCGGGACCTGGTGCTATAGCTCCCTCGGGTGTTTGGGCTTAGACGATCTTGTCTTTTGTGACTCAGTTATTTTACTCAGCACCGTTTCCTCAAAATTCCACCACGTGCTGGCATGTGACAGGAAGTCCTTTCCAGAGGTGAATAATGCTCCTCTGTCTGGGGGCGGACCACACCCCTGTCTTGCGCCCCTCTGTGGACACCTGGGTTGTTGACACGTCTCGGCCGTGTGAACACAGGTGTGTCACCAGAGTGTCAGGCCGGCGACACCTCACAGGTGGCTGTCAGCGGGCAAACAGCTACTCCCAGAGAGGCGTGGGGAGGGTCTGCAAAATCATTGTTCTTCCCTTGCTACTTTTAAATTTTTCTTTCTTGCTACCTTTTGTTTGTTTGTTTGGTTGTCTTTTTGGCTTTTTTTTTGTACTGGGGGTCAAACTCAGGATCTTGCACTTGTGAGGCAGGCGAGGCGCCACTGAGCTAAATCCCCGGCCCTTTTTTATCTTTTTGATACAGGGTCTGGCTATGTAGTTCAGGCCTGCCTTGAACTCACAGCAATCCGCCTGCCTCAGCCTCCTCAGTGATTATATATGTGCTCTACCATACCTGGCCCTTGTTCCTTTCTTTTTTCCTTGCCCTCGTCCCGTCCTGTCCCCCCATCTGGGAACCCCTGCTCTGCCCTCATCCGTCCTGAGCACCCTCTGTTCTCCTGGGTGCAGGGCAGGGAGGTGGAAGGAACCTGTGGCTCTGAGTGCAGGGGCCGAGCGTCCTCCCCCAGCTGCGGCCCCGTCCCGAGAGGGCGGGTTCCTGGACACCCCATATCCGCGTGTGCTTGCCCGGCACCCAGAGCCGGGAAGAGCCCGTGGGGCGGCCCTTGAGCCTGTCCTGGAAGTCACAGTTTACTCTGGGAAGAGGCCAAGGTGGGCGGGGACCCCCGGGGCCCTCTGGCTGGGGAAGATGGGATTTATTTTTTCATTTCTGTGGGGAGTTGGCAGAGCCCGGCCTGGGGGAGGGGAGCCGGGACCTGTTGCTGGATCTGCTCCAGGACGTAAGGTCCAGCCCGGCCTGCAGGTGGGAGCCGTCGTGCTGCCCCCGTGGGGTCCGGGCACTTCCCTAGGCGGCTCAGGAGGAAGCGCCGTCCCACAGGGTGGTGATCATGAACTCCATCCTGGAGCACATGTGTGCCGACGTGCTCCAGCAGACGGCCACACAGATCAAGTTCCCGTCCACCGGCGTGGACGCCATGCCCTACTGGAACCTGCTGCCCCCCAAGCAGCCCATCAAGGAGGTGCTGACGGGCGTGTTCGCCGAGGTGCTGGAGAAGGGCTGGGTGGACAGCCGCTCCGTCCATGTCCTGGACGCCCTGCTGCACATGGGCGGCGCCTACTGGTTCTGCAACAACCTGCTGAAGGTGGGGCCGGGCGGTGGGGAGTGGCCGGGCCCCCTCGCGCCTCACCGGCCCGCGCCCCCCAGCACCCCATCCCGCCCGCCAGGAGCTGTTGAAGGAGACGCGCAAGGAGCACACGCTGCGGGCGGTCGAGCTGCTCTACTCCATCTTCTGCCTGGATATGCAGAAGGTGGCGCTGGTGCTGCTGGGCCACATCCTGCCCGGCCTGCTCACCGACTCCTCCAAGTGGCACAGTCTCATGGACCCGCCTGGCACTGCGCTCGCCAAGTAGGGGTCTCTCCAGCCCGGCCCAGCCCCGCCCGGTCGTCCAGGCCGCTGGGCCGGAGCCCCTTAACCGGCCCTGTCTCTGGCACCTTTTGCCAGGCTGGCTGTGTGGTGTGCTCTGAGCGCCTACGCGTCCCACAAAGGACAGGCGTCCTCCCACCAGAAGAAGCGGCACCGGGAAGACATTGAGGTGAGGTCTCCGCCTGCCAGGGTGTGGGAGGGCGGAGCAGGGCGCCCAGGCCCGGTGACGGCAGCCGCGGGCCGTGGGGAGCTGGGCTTCCCTTCCTCGCTCAAACCTGCACTGCGGCCGGCCTTTGTGCCGCACACCTGTCATCCCAGCTCCTCAGGAGGCTGAGGCAGGAGGATTACAAGTTCAAGGCCAGCCTGGACAGCTTAGCAAGTCGAAGTATAAAAAGTAGCAAGGACTGGGGGCGTACACAGCCCAATGCAGAGCACTCGGGCAGCATGCGTGAGGCCCTGGGTTTAATCCCCAGCTCCATGCGCACGAACACACCAGAGCCGCCGTCCTCTCCATGGTACCCAGTTCTTTGGAACTCAGCGCACTGGTGCTAGCGACCCTCCTCCTTCCCCGCCAGGATTACATCAGCCTCTTCCCCTTGGACGACACGCAGCCATCGAAGCTCATGCGGCTGCTGAGCTCCAACGAGGACGACACCAACATTCTGTCGAGTCCCAGTAAGTGTGTGGCTTGTGGCGCCCTCCTCCCTGGGACGCGGTGCTGAGGGCTGGAGACAGGGCTGCAGTTTTGAGCCTAGGAGTAAAAGCTTGGACCCGGTCCCCACTTCCCCACCCTACAGGGCAGCGGAACAAGGTGTCCAAGTGACTGCTGCCTCAGCCCGGCCTGTGCTAACTTGCCAGCCTGGCCTCCCTCCTCCTCCTTCTTCCTTTCCTGAGACGGCTCTGTGCCTGAGCAGGCCTGGCTCCCACACCCCACTTCCCCCAGAGCTGAGAGCCCATGGATTCCCCCAGGGAGGCCACACCCTGGAGCCGAGCGTCCCTCATCCACGTGTTGTCCTGCCCGCGGCTCCTCCTGGGGACCTGTTGGGCTCTGTATGCCCCAGCGGTGGGGCAAGGCCAGGCCCCCAGAGCGGGTTGGAGCCATGTCCCCTCCCGCCCACAGCTGACCGCTCCATGAACAGCTCCCTATCAGCCTCCCAGCTGCACACGGTCAACATGAGAGACCCTCTGAACCGAGTCCTGGGTGAGTCCTGCCCCGCAGCCCAGCTGGCCTGGTCAGCCAGAGGGGTCTTGCTAGCACCCCTTTTCCTCCATGGTATCTCCCCGCTTTGTCCCCACCTCTCCTAGCTGTTGGCTTTCCAGGCTCCCATCTGGGGCCACTGCTTTCTTTTGCCCTTTTTTGTTTATTGGGACAATCGTGCCACGTGGTTCAGGCTGGCCTTGAGCTCATGGAGATCCTCCTGCCTCAGCCTCCCGAGAGCTGGGAGTCCAGGTGTACCTCTGAGCCCCGGTCACTCCCCCTGCAGCCAACCTGTTCCTGCTCATCTCCTCCATCCTGGGCTCGCGCACGGCCGGCCCGCACACACAGTTTGTGCAGTGGTTCCTGGAGGAGTGCGTGGACTGCTTGGAGCAGGGCAGCCGTGGCAGCGTCCTGCAGTTCATGCCCTTCACCACCGTGAGTGCAGAGCCGGGGCAGGGGCACCGGGCCAGGGACCCCCTGCCGAGCCACCAGCCCCGTGCTCTGTGCGGCAGGTGTCAGAGCTGGTGAAGGTGTCTGCCATGTCCAGCCCGAAGGTGGTCCTGGCCATCACCGACCTCAGCCTGCCTCTGGGCCGCCAGGTGGCTGCCAAAGCCATTGCCGCCCTCTGAGGACCGTCGGGGCCGCAGATCCGAGCGGGGACAGTGAGGACAAGGAGCCGTCGGCCCAGGCCTTTCCAGGAGGTGCTGGCAGCTTCCCCTCCCTCTGCCAGTGCCTGAAGAGCTGGGGGCAGGGTTGCCCTTGGCCGGGAGGCACGGCGGGTACTGGGCGTGTACCCAGCTGAGTGTGGCCTTGAGACACCAAGGGGCCGTCACCTCCACTCATAAATAAAGGCTTTTGGGCTCCCTGTTGACCAGAAGTGCTGTGAGTGTGGGGCCTGGGTGAGGAGGAGGAGGGTGGCGGGGCCACACCCACCGCCATGCCCCCAGGTGGAGCACTGGGTGCCCTGCTCTGTGTCACCCCACCCAGTCATTGGTTTTTTCTTTTGTTTTTCAGTACTGGGGAGAGAACCCAGGACCCGAGGATTGTGAGGCAGGCGACGGCACGGCTGAGCTAAATCGCAGCCCGTTTTGTTGTTGTTGTTGTTGTTGCTCTTTTTGTTTGTTTTTTGAGACAGAGTCTCACTGTATGTGTAGCCAGGCTGGTCTCGAACTCACAGCGATCTTCCTGCCTCAGCCTCCCGCGTGCTGGGATCACAGGTGTGCGCCACCACGCCCGGCTTCTGGGGTGACTGTTGAGCCCTCTGTCCCACTATGCCAGCAGTGGGGTTCTGGCCCGTGCTCCTGGGGGTCAGGGGCTGGAGGTGCCCTGAGGTGTGGACCTGGCCCCTCTGGCGGCCACACGTCTCCCTCCAGAGCGGTGCTGTGTGACCCCTTCAGTGGGCACAGGCGGGGACAGCTGGGTGTGGGTGCCCTGTGCCCATGCGGGCCCCTCGCTCTGCGCCGGCAGCTCTGTGAAGGTACAGGGCCCTGCAGCACATGCTGGCCCAACCTGGGCATGGACCCAGCACCCTCTGCCCAACTGTGGCATCCCGGGTGTCCGTAGCACCTTGTTCAGAGGAATGTGGGGAGCCAGGACCCCCTGCCCCTCCACAGCCTCCCCACCTTCGCACCTGAGACCAAGGAGGAGGAAGGACATTCGGGAGCGACCAGCTTTATTATCGGGGGTGGGGAGGGCTCCCTTTCATCCTTTGCTGTGTCCCCCACTGTTCCTTCTGCGGGGGGCTCCAGAGAGATCCCCGCCGTGGTGGAGGCCAGTGTGGCAGGCACCTCGTGGTGCTAGAGTCAAAACCCACAAAAACTAGAGAAAAACTTCAATTCTGGGGCTGGAGACCTGTGGGGTGGGATGAGGACCCAGTGCAATCTGGGAACACTGCTGTTTAAATATTAAACAGGGATGTCGCCTCCCACATGGGAGGCCTCCCAAAGCGCCTGGGCCACCTCGAGGCGGCGCTGGGGTGGGGGCTGCACGCGGTCCCCAGGGCCCAGCAGGCGTGGGCCAGGCCGGGCCGGGCCTGCGGTCGGGATGAAATACCTGCTATTTGCCTATCTGGGAGGACAGAGCTCCTCGCTGCCCGGGCAGGAACTTGAGAGAGACCCAGGGAAGCACCCGGGCATTGGGCTGGAATCTCTTCCCTGAGCTTAAATACAGGGTTAAATAGGCATAAATATTAAACAGAGATAAATACAGCACAGGGGCCAGGCTCAGGGCCCCCCGAGGTAGCGCAGGGCGCGGTAGCCCAGCTCCAGGAAGCGTTGCAGCTGCCAGGCCAGCAGCGCCCCTCCCACCTGGCGCTGGAAGGCAGAGGTGAAGGTGGGCACGGCGCCCGGGGTGGGCTGCACGGCCGGGGCCACTCCCAGGTCCTCCATCTGAGGGGGAAGACGAGGTCAGGAGCCACTCGGTGCCCGGGCCCAGTGGCAGGAGGGGCCCGGGGGGGCCAGAGGGCCCCACTGACCCCAACATGCCTCCTGGATGCCAGACTGTGAGGCCGCTGGCCTCATTCCCAAGCTCACCTGCTGCCAGATGGTGGTGGCGAAGTCAGTGACGTCCAGCTGCAGTGTGTCCACGGTGGGGGACAGTCCCGGGGAGATTCCCCCCAGTGCGTGCAGGAGGCCCCGGTAGAGGACCAGGCCAGCCTGCAGCTGGTGCAGGCAGCGGGTCTGGGGACACAGGAGAATGAGGCCGAGCTGCGTGGAGCAGGCGGCGGGGTGCAGCCCCTCCTCTGCCAGTGCCCGTCCCCTCTGGCTCACCGGCTGTAGGTCCTGGCTGGAGCAGCCCCTCAGGGGGACCCACAGGATGCCCAGAGAGTGGCCCAGCAGCGCCAGCTCCTCGGGGTGGCACAGCTTGTACGTGGCACACTGGGGGTGGAAGGACGTGGTGCTGCGCTGGTCTCCCTTCCCCCAGTCACCAGCCTCCACCGCCAGTGGCCCGATGCCCGACACAAGGTCCCTGCCCAGCTACCCTTCCATGGCATCCTTGGGGGTCCTGTGTCACCCTCCGTGCCCCTTCCTGGGTACGGCTCCCCCAGTCCCCGCACTCACCAGCTTCTGCTGCATCTCCAGGGCTTTGGCCTGGACCCTCCGCGCCTGCTCCAAGCACTTGAGCAGGAAGCTTTGGGGAAGGGGCAGGGGGCCAGCGGGGTCCAGGGGTGCGGCCTCCTGTCCTGGCCAGAGTGCACCGTGCCACAGCAGCAGCAAGGCTGGAAGCAGACAGGAGACTGCCACTCCTGCGTCCCTCCCAGTGGAGCAGCAGAGCGGCTGAGATCTGCGTGGGGCTGAGGTCCCCGGCACCCCCAGCCCAGCACATGAAGGTGGCCGCACTCACCCATCAGCTTCGCCTGGTTTGGGGCAGCAGTGTGGGCCATGGGGCCGTGGGGAGGGCTGGGCTGCTGGCTGTGGCTGTCAGACCCTCTCTCGGAGGACCTTTATACAGAGCCCATGGAGCCCGGGAGGAAATTACCTGGGGCTACGACAAAGGCTTAGTAATAACTTCTCAGGAGTTATGCAAATTTGTTGGTGTCCAGGACAATGCAAGGGGGTTGGGACACAAAGCTGTTTGCGAAAGTTTTGTGAAATTGTGGAATCTCTGATCCTTCTTTGACGTCTGGTCCCCCCCAAACTCTCTTCCTCCACTCGGCCCCACCCAGGGCTCAGCTCCCCCCTGGGGCTTTGACCAGAAACTGAGCCAAGCCCAGAAGTCCTGGAGGCCGGAGGGGAGGCTGAGGCTGGAGGCTGTCACGGTCGGTCCTCAGATGGGGACCCACCTCCATCTTCCGGTAGGCACCTGGGCAGCCCCTCTGCCCCTCTCCTAAGGATTCCCAAGCCCTCTGCACCCAAGTCTAACTCTAGAGGTGAGGAAGAAGCTTGCTGCCTCCTTGCCCTGACCCTGAAATTCCCCGGGCCCTCTTGGCCTCGTGTGGCCAGGGCCCTCGACGGGACCCTGAGTTTTCCTTCCCGCACTTAGAGCGGCACCGCAGCCCCTTCCAGGCCATCCTGTCCCAAGCTGATTAGCTGGGAACTCCCCAGCAAGCCCCCATGACTCACCCCCTAAGCCCCCGGAATCCAGGCAGAGGCCAGAGGAAACCGGATGTCGGTCCTGAATGAATCAAGACCCTCTGGGCCCTTGGCTCACCTGACCCTGCCCTTCCACCTCCTGGCACACTTGCCCTGGCACATGAGGCTGGCGCAGTTAGTTGCTCTGGTACATGACAGCACAGTCCAGGGGGCTTTGGAATGGGGGACTGGGGCGTGACACTCTCCTTCCAGAGGAGAGCCCACCAGCTGGCGTGCCCACTGCCCCGAAGTGGACCAGGCAGGGGTGAGGAAGGGGAGCCTGCCAGTCCCATGCACTGGAGCCCTGAGGCATTAGCACCGGAAGCAGCCTTGGCATCCGGCCCCTCCAGCCTCTCTGACCTGGGCCGGGGAGGGAAGGACCCTGCCCAAGTCATGGGTGCAGAGTTGGTGGCTGAACGTGGGCTCTGCCTCAGTTCTGAGCTCCACGGGTCCCTGGGCCTGTCTGGTGGGACTGTCCACACCCAGCTGTCACACTCACACTCACCAACCTGCCACCCCTGTGTCCAAGCAGAGGGTGCTCTGGGTGCAGGGGGCAGAGCCTTGGTGGGCATCTCTGGGGCAGGGGTGCCCTCTGGTGGCCATGCATGGCAGAGCGTCACCTGCCCCTCTGTTCATGTCCTGCCATTTGGTCCCTCTGAGTTTGCAGATTTTTACTATCATGTTACAAAAGAAACAAAAAACAAAACAAAACAAAAACCTTGGCTGTCCCTTGTGTCTGTCCCTCTGTATGGGGGGGTTATCAGCCCATGACCCCTGCGGGCACTGTACCCCCAGTGCCCAAGGTCCTATTGCAGACAGCATGGTATCTACACCCCAAAGAATTGCACCTCCCCAAGCTATGCGAACCCTGGGGGTTCACACTGTGCCGGGTGGTGACAAGAAGAGAAGAGCCCACTGTCCAGGACAGACACAACCAACTCCCTCCAGATCTTTCCAATGTGAGTCCTGGGCTGGGCAATCTGCACACTGAGGCTGGAGGTATGTTTGAGGCCTGTGCCAAGCAGGCTTGGTCACAACTTCTCAGTGCTGCCTTTCCAGCACAAAAGCAGCTACAAAAAATATGTACACAAGCCAGGCGTAGTGATGCATGCCTGTAACCCCAGCACTCTGGGAGGCTGAGGCAGGAGGATTGCAAGTTTGAGCCCAGCGTGGGCAATCTAAGTGCCTTAGCAAGACCCTGTGGAAAAATAAAAAAATTATGTAGCTCAGCACAAAGGCCCTGGATTCAATCCTCAGTATCACACACACAACTCCCCCCCCACACGCAAAGTAAATGAATTATATTTGGACATTAGGATTCGAATGTCAAATGTCTTTCCACATTATAAAATTTTTTTCACTAACCACTGAAATATATACCTGAGCCGTCCCTCAGTCGGGGTATATGTGCCTCAACCCAAAGGCCTGCTCGGCCAACCCTGCTTGAAGGCTTAAGTGAGAAGTAGAATGATTTGTTTTTGTGGTTTTGTTTTGGAGACAGGGTGTTACACAGTTCAGGCTGGCCTTGAACTCACAGTGCCTCCCGCCTCAGCCTGTCAAACGCAGGGATTACAGGTGTGTCACAGGACACGCACATTTCCACGTGACGGCGACAAATGAGCGTGAACAGGCGAGCAGGTGAGCGCCTTCCGGGGTGCTCAGACGGCGAGTCGGCCCGCCCGGCACACCGCACTCCGTGCGCATGCGTCTGGAAGGCAAGCGCGCACTGCTCTGCGCATGCGTTCGCCC